GAGAGGAGCTCCACAAGGTGGGCAGAGGTCCTCACCATCCCCCAGCTCAATGAGAGGTCATGTGGGATGCAACCAGCAAAGCCAGAGAGGTGAGGCTGCCCAAGCCCTCTGGAACTCACATCTCACCACCATGTGCTCTGAGTGTCACATATGGAGCTACAGGAGTTAATGTTTGCCCTGCTGGTTTGGTTCTTGTTTTGGTCTAACTCTTTTCTATCCCCCTATTTCTCCCTTTTAGAATGGAAATGTTCACCCTGTGCCTTGGGGCTATGTAAAATTAAAAAAAATTTTTTACAATGGTTCACAGCTAAGAGTTTGCCTTAAGTCTCAAAAGAGACTTTTACTTATAGTTTTGAAAAATATTGAAACTGTTGAGACTTGGAGAAGGTATTATTGCATTTTGGGTTGTATTATGTTAGGCAGAACTATGAACTTGATTAGTTTTTTTGGGGGGGGTACTGGGGATCGAACTCAGGTCCTTGCACTTGCAAGGCAGGTGGGAGAACCACTGAGCTAAATCTTGGCCCTGAACTTGCTATTCTCTTTATTTGGAGGTATAGTTTAAGGAGCTCCGTTTGAGTATCATGTTGACAAAGGGTGGGATGTTGTGGTTGGCATGGGGTATCAATTTGACTGGCTTTGGCATCTACCTGGAGGATTGATAGAACACACTTCTGGGTATGTCTGGGTAGGTCTTGGAGGTGTATCTTTGGGTTCTGTGTCTGGTCCCTTGGCCATTTCTCTCTGTTCTGCTTCCTGACAACCATGAACCTGAACATCTCTGCTCCACCATGCCTTCCCATCATGCCATTTTTCTCTTGGGGTCAGCCAAGCAAGGACTGAATCTCTGAAACTGTGACCCAAATTAAACCTGTCCTCCTTTAAGTTGTGGGTGTCAGGTATTGTGTTCTAGCAATGGGAAAATGACTAATATGTAAATATATTTACCATCTTTGCAATTTGGAAATGCAGCTTCATTTTAGGGATACTAAGAATAATAAAATGCATAAGAATAGTAGTATAAGAGTAGTATTATATGTATTATCTTCTTTCATACCTTTCAATCCTTTTTTAAAGGAAACAACAAAAATAAATTTTATCTCACCTTTCTTGTGCTACTTGGTATTTACCTATTCATACTTTGGTGATCTTAACATTGTGCCTAAAATACATAAGTATTACTTTTAGTTTGCATGCTTATCAAGAGCCTTTTGCTATATTCTGGTACTTATTGAGGATACAAGACTTCCCTTTTTTCTATGGCATCTGCAAAACTCAGTTTGTTCTGCAAAGTGAAAACTTGGGGATTTTAAAAAAATGGTAGTCTAATTCCCACTTTAAGTTCCCTTTTCACATTTTTATGCCTCATTTTGCCTTAAGTCCTAAGATACAAATACTGAGTGACTTTGGTATATATTTTAAAGTTAAATTTTTCCATGCCTTTCTAAACCATATTCTCAGATTCTAAAATGGTTTACATCCATTGGTAGTGAAAGGATGAGTGACACTTACACCAATAGAACAGAACAGAGTCCAGAAATAAATCTATGCACTTATAGTCAATTTATTTTTGATAAAGTTGCTAAGTACACACAATGGGATGGGATAGTCTTCAAGAAAATTATACTGGGAAAACTTAATATTCACAGGTAGAAGAATGAAATTAAATCCTGATCTCATTCCATATACAAAAATCAACTCAAAATGAATTAAAGACTTAAACTGAAGATCTCAAACTATAAAGCTACTGAAAGAAAAGATGGGGGAAAACTCCATGACATTGGTATGGGCAAAGAGTTTTTAGATATGACTCCAAAAGTACAGCTGCATAAACAAAAGTAGATAAATTGGGATTATATCAAAGTGAATAGCTTTTGTACATCAAAGGAAGCAGTCAGCAGAGTGAAGGGACGATCTCCAGAATGGAAGAAGACACTTGCCAATGACACATTTACTAATGGGTTAATATTTAAAATACACAAGTAATCCAATGGAATAGTCAGAAAGTAAATAACTAGATTAAAAAATGGTCAAAGAACCCAAATAAATATTTCAAAAGAAAAAATATGAATGGTTAACAGATATATGAAAGAGTATTCAACATCGTCTATTAATTATCATGGAAATAAAAATCAAAACTAGAATGAAATATCATCTCATACTTGTGAGAATAGCTATGATCAAAAAGATAAAAGATGATAAATGTTAATAAGGATGTGGAGAAAAATGGAACTATGCAGCATTGGTGGGAATTTAAATTAGGGCAGCCACTATGGAGAAGTACAAGCCTTCCTCAAAAAATTAAACATAGAACTGCTGTATTGTCAAAAAAAATCCTTTTACTATATACTCAAAAGATGTGTTGAAAGATATCTGCACTCCCAAGTTCATTGCAGTATTATTTATAATAAACAAGATATGGATCAAACTAAATATACATTAATTAATGACTGGACAAATAATGTTATCTATATATCTATCCATCTATCATTTATCTGTCTCTTCAGCCTCAGAGAAGAATATAACCCAGTCATTTGTGAAACATGAGTGATCCTGGTAAACATTAAATTAAGTAAAATAAACCTGGCATGAAAAGACAAATACTGCATGATTTCACTCCTATGTACAATGTAAAATAAAGCAACCTCACAGAAACAGGGAGTAACATGGTGGTTCCCAGAGGATGGGTTGGTGCAGATTTAGGAAACATTAATTGCTGGGCAGGAATAGTAATTTAAAAAATTGTTAAGAGGATAGATTTTATGGGTTCTCCAAAACAATAAGTATGTGAGGTAATGTGCTCAATAAGTTAATTTATCCATTGTACAATATATACATATATCAAAATATCATGTTGTACATGATAAATATATACAATTTTTACTTGTTCACTAAACATTTAAAAAAACACACATTTCCTTAATTACGCATCTATACCTTCAACCCCTCCCCCAAAAGAATGAGTATTGATTCCTAGTACTTCTTTGCCCTTTTACTGCAGGAAGCCTAGCCATTGCTAATTCCTGTCCTTCCAACATTGCAGATTTTCCCTGGTTAAGTTTACATAATCTTTCATACTAAATATCTGAATGAAGATAGTTCAAGCAGACTAAAATTAATTACCAGTATATACATAAGGTAGAGGAACTCCACAAATTTATAATGAGAACAACAACAAAATAACCCACTTATGTACAAATGAAAAAAGGTTCTCATTTTCTATTTTAATTTTCATTTAGATTTTTTAAAAAGGTTATATATGTGTACTCTTTTAACAGAATTTATAACATACAAAGTGCCCACAGCATAAAGGGTCAGAAAGTTCTTCAGCTGGAGAAAGACTCACAAATTAAAAACACCTTTAACACTAACTTTTTTATTATGTATTTTGCCCTTTAACCAGGTCTCCTGTGAGGTTTGTTTCCTGGAGGAGTCCAGAAAGAAGCTGTTCTCTGCTGAACCATGGGTCAAGGAAAATGTTGACAGAACTATCAACTCTCAATTTCCTAAACTTGGCAGGGTTCAAACTTCCAAGACAAAGCTGATAGTGTCAAGGTAAACATGAAGGTTTTTAATATGGATACCAATCTCTAGGAAGGGCATTAGGAAATCCCTCAGTTATCACGGTGAAACCACCATCACCACTCAGCTAAGGTGCAAGTAGCAATCAAGTCATTCCTGATTATCTCAACCAGCAATCAAGACTTTCCCCTGGGATTGGTCTGACCTCGGAAGACAATGAGGCAAGTCCCAACAAGGAGGAGCCATCTGCTCGGACGGCAGGGTAGAGAATATGACATAGACTGGTGCACAAAAGCCATTTAAGCAGAACACTAGGGAGAGACCTTGAGGTGACTTCCACAGCCCAGTTGCTGTTTCTTTTTTGAGAAAGTGAGCAATGGCCCGAAGCTAGAAATGCAAAATGCATCCCTCAATATAAGTATTCATCACACACCTAAATCTTACATTTTATAGTTGTCAGACATTTTAGCTTTCACAAAGTCTGAGTTTAGATTTTGAAAGGTTTTTCACAACTTTGAAGTGCATTTAGTAAATGTATAGTCTAATTTTATCCAAACTATTAGCTCCATACCTACAGATGGCTTTGAATGTACCAAAAGAATTTATTTTGCTAGATATGAGAAGTGGCTGGTTCCTCTGACATGGCAACCCTGTAGTTGTCACCTCTTGGGGAGTTTCACAGTGAAGTTAGTTGTTGTTAAAAGGAACATCAGAATTCAGCTGGAGTCTTGGAAGAAAATCAAGTTTTGTCTGTTTGTACAAAGATAAAAGTCAGTGTCAGATTTCTGAGCTCTTTAGATTAGAAAGATGTTTGGACTTGAAAAATAAAGACCCAAGAGAAGGAGGTGTTCATATTAGAGCTGCTATGCTGTCATGAGAGGATCTCTTAGATCTCTTATAGCAGGGTCATTGGGGAGGAAAGAAGATTATCAATGTGACTGTCATACTGAAGGCAATTTTTATCAAGGTCCAAAAGTAAATTTTCAATAAATAATCTGATTCTTGCTAAATGACTCACAAGGAGGTGGCTTTGATTCTCACTCAAGTAAACAAAAATTCGAGACAGCATAGGCAATGCTTGTTGAATTTACTTGGATGAAACTGTTTATTTGAAATAAAGCACAAAGCTATTTTCTTTTTGCTGCATTGTGGGTGCAATATCCATATCATGACATTAAGTAGGAGAGGAATGGAACTATGGTATTGCTGTGGGTCTCTCAGAGTGCGAGAGAGATACTACAGACAAAAGAAAGTTCTAAACGTTAAAGAAGTAAGTTTTAATTTTGCTGCTTGAAATTGTAGTAATCACTGATAGGTACTTAATTTAAAATTATTTTTCAGTTGAACAAAAAGGGACTATGCACAATATATAGCTTAAGAGTAATAAGTTAGGGGGCCGGGGATTTAGCTCAGTGGTTCCGGCGCCTGCCTTGCAAGTGCAAGGTCCCGAGTTCAATCTCCGGTACCCAAAACAAAGAATAATAAATTAGGAAAGTAAGGTAAAAACTTAGAGTTGCCTCTCTCACAGATAATATTTTTAGCTTGAAGACAATCTGACCAATGTGAGGTTCTGGGAAGTTAAAAAGAGCTTCCGAAATGAAATGTTGCTGAGACATATATCTTAACTTATAGTTTGCGAGATTTGTTTTTTCCCCTGATGATAAGTGAGGAGAGAGCAACTGGAGAAAAGCAAAGATATGTTTCAGTTGAGACTATGCCAGAACAGTGACTCACAGCGTCCTAATCAGGCAGGCATGACAGCTCATTGAATAAGGCCCACCCCACCCACCCTGGAAATTGTTCTTTGCCCAAGCTCAGCACCCTGAAAACGACTTTCTAGACATGTCACCATGCTTGCTGTGGATTGTCAAGGAAACTATGAAAATGCTGACCAAGGCAGGGGTTAAGTTATTATATGACCAAGGCTGCCTTTTCAGATAGGCTCAGCTCTGAGTGTCTGTGTATTTGCGTACATGTGCATGTTTAATTAAAGAAGCGTTTTTATGTATGTCTTTTTGATTTGCTGTACATTTTCCTAGCAATTAATATTTATGCATATTTATATGACCCACCCATCTTTTGATAAAAATTGCCATAATCATTTCTGTTTATGTTTTTTTCACATATGACTTGTAGGATTATATGGGTTAAATAAATTTATGGCTTAAAGGAACTTTTAAACTCCTCATCTTGTAGATGGAAAATAGAGGCCTTATCCACCAGGGGTGGCCTTTGGTCAGCCTCATATAACAGCCAGGACCAAAATCCAGTCTCTCTACTTATGTTATGAGTTTAAAGAATTATTTCAACAGTTATACAAGATTGAATATGCTTTACAAATTGTTGTTAATGAAAACTGCAGAAACACTAAGTATTTTGGTTTAAATTCATGGTTTCACAGCATGACCATGCCTTGAATCATTTCGGAAATTAAAAAAAAAAAGAAAATTTGAAAAAAGAGTTAAAAAAGAACCAATACAGATCTAGTGACTCAGAATCTGATAAGGGTGTACCAAAGCATTAGAATATTTAGAAAATTCTCCTGTTTTTAATGGATTTCTAATGTAGTGTGTATAGATCAGTGTTGAGAAAGCAGGCATATGTCTATTTTTCAAGATGATTGGATAGAAAGTAGGCTGAACTATCCAGCTAAAGTAGCTAAACTAGCTACCTACTGAAGAAATAAAATCATAAGAGTTTAGCTTAGGGAAACTCAACTAGTTTTAATATCAAGCTATTTCTTTCATGCTCTCTCGTCACTATTTCATTATGGCAGTTGTAAGAGAAACTCAGAACCTCCACTATTATTAAAAGGCAAACCTATTGGCTTTTGCTATGAACAAAAGGACTGCTAGAATATTTTAAAACAGGAACTTAGTGTTTTGATTGAATCCTAAATAAATACCCAATAGATATTAATGAAATCTACTCTGTTATTTCTTTTCTTTCCTTTTCTTTTTTTTTAAGTAATTGCAGGATCTCTGTATTGGTTGGTGTGAAGAATAACACAATAGGGGAGATAACAGCTTCCTGGGCCCTATTATTGATCAAATGGCAAATCTGGCCTCATGAAAATCAGGCAAAATCACAGGCCGTACTTTATGTGCACAGGTTACATTTCACATAAGATTTTATTAATCCTAGTAGTCAAATCTTTTCTATGATCTTCCTAATTTGTGCCCCTGCTCATGACTTCAATGGCCTATCTAATCAAGAGACCAAGGAAGATGTTTCTGACTGTGTCATTTTTGATATCCCAATTAGGTCCGGATGCAACAGCTTGGACCTTAGGGACATCATTTGTCATAGGGGACCGCTAGTGTGTTCTCTCCTTAATGCTCTTTCAGTATCCTGGGGCAGCATGTTCCTTCCCCTGGAGATCCATTCTCCTTTCCTTTTGTCTTCACATTTGTAATATTTCTCTCATCAGGCCACAGGAGTGGACACATGACTCAAGACCAGCAGCACAAAGTCTTCTTAGGATTATTTCAAATGGCAACTAGAAAAAACCAAAACAAAACACTTCCCTTCTCTGTTGAAGGCACAAGACAATTCATCATAGGAGTGAATTTCAGGCAAAGGAAGGGGGCCCTAAAAGGGCATAAAAGCTTCCCTGCAATCTTGGAGTCCTTTTCTATCGTCCTGTGATCCCCCTTTCCTACCATCCTCTGCTTCAGTTCTTTGCTTCTGTGAAGCAATAGGCTTTTCTTTCCAGTCTCAGTAGTATGGATGGGCTTCTGTAACTTGTAACTGAAATGGCTTTAATTCAAGAAAACTTCAAAATGCCCTAGATTTCACATGCCATTTAGGGGAAATCCATACTGTTTGCCTTTTTCCCACAATGGACTTGAAGAGATGGGATGGCCGAAGCAACTTTACTGCCAGCTGTTCTCTCAGAAATTTTTGTTGCTGGATATTCTCTGGAAAAATTGAAAGAGATAACAATTGACAACAACAACAATGAAAGCCTCTTAGAAAATGTCAGATTAAGCCCAGAGGAACAGTAAAGACAGCAGATCTCAATAGTTGTTGACATTTGTATAATACAAATACAAAATTACAACATTTTGTATTTATGGTTTTGTGCAAATACTTGAAATGCACACATCAGTTCTTCAATAGAAGAAGCATAATGTTGTGTTTTCAGTTCAAAATACCAGTAAATTTGGAAAAATCTTCCTGAGTAAGCTAAATTTATTTTTATGTGTTTTAAAGTGCTGATAGGACCTTATTTATATTTTTCTTCAATTTACAAAGATTTTTGTCTTTCGACTAATTGTATTATTTTATCAAGAACTTTAACTGATTTGAAATGATCAATTCTTTTTCCCATTAAGTTTATTGGTACATTTTAGGTATAAAATACAGTTACATTCACCATTGGGATCTTGTATCATTACATGAGTATCTTGGTTCTTTTTTTTCCCCCTTCCTCTGCCCTCCCTTCACCCCCTCCACCCTTCTCTATTTGCAAAGATTTTGTTTCCATTTTTTTCCTTTTCTCATATTTTTTCTTTTTCCTTCTTTCCTTTCCCCTACCCCTCCCACTTCCCCTGCTCCTTTAGA